AATCCAGATTGCTTCGGGCACATTCAACAAGATGTGGCCATTGTGGTCACGCGGACATCTGGTCTCCGAAAAGCTACGGGTGAGGCTCTACGAAGCCTTCATCAAGCCTCTGCTGATGTACAACGCAGGCACATGGGGCCTCTCAGACTCTCAGCTGTGTACTCTTGACTCGACATATCGGAGACACCTGAGAGTTGTTGTGGGTATCCGCTACCCACAGATTATCAGCAACGATGACCTCCACCGCAGAACAGAGACACAGCCCATAACTGTCCTGGTTAAAGCTGCTCGGATGCGACTACTGGGTCACATCTGCAGACTGGACAAGGAGTCCCCAGCACAAATGGCCATGACATCATACTTCCGGCAAACAAAGGACGAGAAAAAATTCCGTGGTCGGCCGCCTTCCACACTCCCAACAATACTGAGAACAGACCTCGCAACAAAGGGAATGAAGCTGCAGACGGATAAAGATCTCTCACACATCAGGGACCTGGCAGAGGACAGAGCAGTATGGCGGCAGCTTTTCCGCACCTGAGCCTGCAGAGGAATGCCCGGATTTGCCCAAACGGAACATGACATGATGTATGGTGAATTCAATGGACAATCTGATATATTTCTTCAATATCCTTTGCCTCCTGTTTCTTTTTTCCTGCCTTCGACCCCGCTGCTCTGTGACCCTTCCTTCGCTTTCTCTTGTCCTTACTGTCTTTTGACTTGTTGAGCGGCCTGAGCGAATGCTAGGGGTGGATGTGTATTTTGTCGATTTGTTGATTTTTGTAGTAACACAACCTGATACAAACGCGGAGAGGCAAATAATAATAATAATAATTGTTGCAAGCGCAAGCTGAGAGCATTCTTTTCGACCTACATAATATTTCGATTGTGAGAATCGAGTAAGTACTGACCACATAACAATTATCTACACATACACCTGCCCTGCAAATTCTCATCAACACACCATGTATATGACCACGTGATACTACGGGCTCAGAGCCTGGTCGTCATCTAGAATCCCGGTATAGTATGGGATCAGCAGTGAATGGGTTACAGAGCCAGTCCAGTCTCATTATCCAGATCATGTTTCCGATGGGTAAACAAAAGTATAGTAGGTGTAACAAAAGACCTCTCCAACAAGAACAACCATGCACAAGTATTATTGAGTGGAGTGGGAAATGTTTTTTTGGAATTTCCCGAATTTGGAAGACCTGATGACATCACATTTGCTTAGCTTGCCAGGAAAGGTCGACCACAGCATATACATTTTGCAGCCTTTTTAATTGAAAAGGTAGGTGCTTGGTACATTCTGAACCCTTCAATGGACCCCGAAGTTCCTCCCGAGGAGACTCCACCTCCAGGGAAACGAACTTGGCTATTATTTCGTGAGGATACAGATGCTAAACATTTGATGGAGGAACATGTTGAAACGGTGAGGTAAGACTCATTTTTGACAATGGAGAGGGAGGTTGATAACCAATGTTGCAGGAAGAGTGAAACTGCTGTGAGTATCAACATAATGTTCAGTTATACTTCCATCACCTGAGCATCCAGACTAAGCACCCAGACTAAGCACCCAGACTGACCAGTCATAATAACCACCCAGACTGACTAGTCATACTGACCACTTATACTCAGGGGCATCGGAAGCAGTTCAACATTGGTGCGCCCAAAGTGTGTGTGTGTGGGGGGGGGGGGGGGTGCGGGGTCCTCCCGCGGGGAAAATGTTTTGAAAATTGGGCCCAAAATTCCATATTTTAATGCCACAGAATAATATGAGAAATAAGAATACGCATGGATGACGACACGCCGCATTGCGGATGCAAAACATGGTAGCTGTACAAGAGTCGACAAGCCAACAACAAGGTTTCTAGGGAATCACTATATCAAAAAGAGTAATGAAACACGTACTTATATATGGAAACAACAAACGAGGCATCCAAGGTAAGAACATAATTATAACAATGAAGATCGAATTGAGGTTGCTGTTCTGAGCATGGACAAATTGACAAAGCAACATTAAAACACATCTAAAACTTTCCGAAAATGCCTCTTCGATACTCACGCTCTCCAACAAAGTCATTCGCAACTGTATTCAAGTCCAAGGCATCGCAGTCTTCCTTGCGAACATGAAGAAGAGCATTACTGGCTGGTGGTATCAACAGTAGCTGGAGTAGGACACATACTTATGACAGGAAGAACTGACGACTGGACAAAGACTGCACGTAAGACACAACACTCAGCACGGTCGGTGCACCATCACCTTTAGCAACGCAATGCGCATGAAGGACTGGCAGCTGGTCATGAAGGAGATCCGTCTGGATGTCATCTTTGTACAGTGAGGCAATGGCTGTTAGCTCTGTACTGTAGTCCCGCCCAGCAAAGCCTTTGAGAAGAAGGTCTTCCATATTCCGGTATTTGCAATAGCCTTCCTGATCAAATCGCTGACGGATGGCTTGCACAACTGCGTCAACTGCAGCAAAGTACACAGGGCGATAGTGGGCCTCGACTGTGGCAGGGAATGAGGGAGCACCAGTACCTCCTTAGAGCCTTGCTGTTACCTTCCTCTTTCTCGGTAGTTGAGGTTCAAGCACGTCATTTGACTGCTGCAGCTCCATCACGCTCGACCAGAAAGCCTCAAAACTACTGTCAGTACGGAGAAGCAGGAGAGTGTCAACAGTAGCTTTTGCAATGGCTTGGCCTTCACTTTGCAGACAAGGTGGTAGACTGCAATGATTTGCTGAGGTTACCAGCAAGAGATAGAGCTTTCGCAATGAGAGAGACCCCGAAGACGAAGTTAAAATTCACCAATTGAATCCTCACACCATTGCACTTTGCTGACATCTCCTTATCATTCTTTGCAAGCTCGGTATATGACTCCAGGGACTGTTGAAGGACGCTGTAGTTGGTCTGGATGCTCTTCAGAGATGCAGCTCGAACTGTCCACCTGGTCGGACACCAGGTGCGGAATCTAGGTTCTTCTGGTGCAAGCTCAGTTTTCAGGCGCTTGTACTCAGCAGTATGTTTCGCAGAATACTTTAGGAGCTTGCTGAGCTCAAATGTGATGCCCATCGCATCCCTGACATGCTTGACATCACGGATCATTTCCTGAGAAGCGAGATTCAGGGCATGCCCATATCAGTGAGTATATACCGGTAGAGCCCTGGGCTCCTCTGCCAAGATCTGGGTGGCAACTCCTGTTCGGCTACCTTTCATGGTAGAGGCACCATCATAACACTGGCCTCGACAACACTCCAGCTTGAGGTTCATCCTCAACAGGGCATCCTTGATTACGCTGACAAAAGTGTCAGCATTAGCCGTTGCGATGGCATAAAATCCTCAGAACTTCTCATGAAAATGGAGCTCCGAATCTACCTGTCGAATGACAATTATGCAGTGCCCTGTACAGCTGGAGTCAGTGGTTTCATCCACCATGATGGCGAGCTTACATTCGCCGATACTGAGTGCAAGTCCACGGAGGATCTGGAGTGCCATCACCTTCAACATTTCGTTCTGCATATTGGCACTCGTGTATTTTCCCTTCTTCTTCCCTAGCCACGTCTGTAGCGACGGTTGGAATTCGCTGAAGACGGTCAGGAGCTGGTGGAAATTGCTATCTACTGGCACACTGAAATGACTTGCTGAGGTCTACTTTACTATCTATTTCACCTCCATCTTACGATGCTTCTCGGAGAGGCAGCCCTTGTCAAGCAAGAAACTTGATGTTACGAAGGATGAGGAGGAAATTCTGCACACAAAATACTCACTTACGCTTCATATCCCAATGCAACCACGGATAATTGTCATACCAAGATGGCAAGAATGCACGGAACACAACTTGGCTAACCCTGAAGGCTCGTTTTTTCTAGTCATGTGACCTGGTTTGGAAAAGAGCATCTCCTATTTTGGGGTAACCATGGGAACCTTCCATCTCTTCGAGTCAGAACAATAAACTGCCACCACGGAAATTTGCCACCTCTGTCCATGCTCTGGTACAAAGGTTCACACAGCACACCGTACATTTTGTATGCATGCATGAGATACCCCATACCTTTTCAGGCCTGCAAAAAGCGTAGAATAGATTTTTAGAATTTCGACTTGGAAAATTATTGGTGCGGCTTTGGCCGCACCAGCCGCACCGGTTCCGACGCCCCTGGTGCTGACCACCCAGGCTACGCACCCAGACTGACCACTCAGATTAACTCAGACTAAGCCAGACTAAGCACTCAAGTTAAGCGCCCAGACGCCAAAACCAGGTGATATGAGTTTTTGCCTTTGCATAACTCCATAGAAAGGGTATGAAGAGTTGTATACCCTTGGTAGCTTAGTTACCCTTGATCATACTGTACACTCTAGTACTATGATCATACTGTACACTCTAGTACTATGATCATACTGTACACTCTAGTACTATGATCATACTGTACACTCTAGTACTATGATCATACTGTACACTCTAGTACTATGATCATACTGTACACTCTAGTACTATAATCATACTGTACACTCTAGGACTATGATCATACTGTACACTCTAGTACTATGATCATACTGTACACTCTAGTACTATGATCATACTGTACACTCTAGTACTATGATCATACTGTACACTCTAGTACTATGATCATGCTGTACACTCTAGTACTATGATCATACTGTACACTCTAGTACTATAATCATACTGTACACTCTAGTACTATGATCATACTGTACACTCTAGTACTATGATCATACTGTACACTCTAGTACTATGATCATACTGTACACTCTAGTACTATGATCATACTGTACACTCTAGTACTATGATCATACTGTACACTCTAGTACTATGATCATACTGTACACTCTAGTACTATGATCATACTGTACACTCTAGTACTATGATCATGCTGTACACTCTAGTACTATGTGAACAATGGAAGACTGCTATCTGTACTGAACTTCCAGTCAACATTGTGTAATTAAACAGAAGTGGAACCACACTAATCAACCATATATCTTACCTGCAGTCTCTTGTTGTTGTCAATCACCACAAGATCACCACCGTCATCCACAGCTACATCAGTGGGAAAGTTGAATTCAGCATTACCACTGCCCTGTTTGCCTATATCACGTATGTATGTACCATCCAGTGTGGTGACCTACAGGTACATACATGTACATCACAACACAATACACCAACAGAAAAGAACAGCATGGACAAAACGTCATTTTAACATTTCAAACGTTTCCCAGTACAGAATGATACAGTATGTCTGCATCATACATAAGCTCAGGTACTCATGCAAGAATTGCACGAAGATGTGGGCTTTGCGCAGGAAAGCTTAGTTGCCAACACACACGGGTATTATAGGCACAGTGCTGGTGCTGCGCGTATGTGTCATATTGCTGTCCCTGCACAGTTTACAAGTTGGCCAATTTTTACTTTTTAAATTTGAAATCGTGCTACAAAGTGTGTAATGGAGTCGCCATGACAAATACTGATATTAAAGAACTAAAGACTATAATATTAATGACGGGAAGTGCCAGCTTCGGTAACAACTAGAGAGGCAGAAGAAGAGACAGGTGCATGCACAGCGAAAACAGAGCAGTTACCATGCAGGCACATAGCACTTGCTCTGAGCAAAGCAAAGCTAAGGTGGCAGCGGATGAATGCTATGACAACCGAATACAGTTCGATGCTTTTCTTAGCAATGAGGGATGCAATACGCTTGTAAAGCGAGGCAGATTGCTTGCCCATACCACTGGTTGTCGAGAAGACCGAAATTGGCCAATTTTTACGGGCATTTTTATGATTTCAATTCGACAGATATGTCTTGAATTTCTCAAAACCTGTCTGGACATGAAGGAGCTGTCCTAAACTTTAGTTTCTTTCTTGATTTGCTGAAATAATGTTTTACTTCTCCCCGCCATCCCACCGTCTCTATTTTGTTTGTCTCTGCTCTTTCATTCATTTGCCACTTTGTTTTCTTCCCGAGTGGACGTGGGAATGCAAACGGGCATCAGGATTGTTGTATGTGTGTGGTGCGACTCCTCATGCCAGGTAGTTATGTGAGCCCTAGGTGGGTGAAATCTTCGCCTCGTTGGTCGTTCATTTGCAGACGCTGGGCAGTACAACATTGGCAGTATGCTTTAGCCCTTGGTGGGAAGGTCGTGGGTGTCAGCAGCTAGTCCTTGGCTCTCAATAGTCCGTACAGGCAGTACACATTAGCCAGTGGTGGGCGGTACATGAACGTCTCCCAGCAAGCAGTATGCTTCAGCGCTTGGTGGGTGTATGTGTTACACCTGGGGGGGGGGCAGTATACTTCATCCCTCAATGGGATGTTTGTGATAGCTCTTGGCGAGCTGGTTGCTTCAGCCCTCAATGGAATGTACTTCCTCCACGTCATTAAAATTGTTGCTTCCCAGAGCGATTTTTCAAATTTATTTTGTCCACTCAACGTGAAAAGAAATCAGCTAGAAACTGAGGCAGAGCATTGTCTACAGACCAAGCTTTAGTTTTGGCCTCCCGACTTTGCTGCACTTACAGATAAGGTCGACATCTTCATCAGAGTTTGAGGCAGTCCCTTCAGCACTCAGCGATTCACCATATAGTCCCGGTTGCGACCAATGGCGATGACCACGCCGGTGGTGCGCCAGAGTTTGGTGCGCGGATCTTGAATGTCAACCCGCATGCCAATGCGAAATGGGGACAGTGATCTGGCAAACTCATCATAATGCTGTTCTTGGGTGGCAGACTGAGCGGCAGAGCGCTTGTAAACATCGGTGGCTTTGGCTTGCCAATCAGGAGCAAAGCTGAGATGATGAGCTGTCATGAAGGAGGACGATGGTCGACCAAACAGTGCTCGGGCTGGTCTCTGACCATTTTATTGGGGATGTTGCGCCATTCTAACAATGCGCGTCTGAACCCATCGACGTCCAAGTTACCGTCGAACGTGGTCTTCAAATCGCTTTCACGGCGGCTTTGGCATAGCCGTTAGACTGAGGATAATGAGGTGAAGACATGGAGTGCTGAACTTGCCATCGGGTGCAAAATTCAGCGAAGCGACGTGATGAAAATTGCGGACCACCATCAGTAGTGAGGATGCTGGGACACCGACGTCGACGAACCAACCACGGAACACACGGATCACATCGGCAGAAGATGCAGTGCGGCCGATCTTGGCGATGCAAGGCCAGCCAGTGTGACGGTCGACGTAAACCAGGTATTCCCACCCTTGACAAGAAAATAAGTCGGCACTGGTTGACTGGAATGGCAGGGTGTGACGGCGGTCAGCGATGACACGCATCGGTTTCTTACACTGAGACGGAGCGTGCAAGCGACACTGTTCGCAACTGTGAAAGACTTGGGCGATGTCATTAGACAAGTGTGGCCAGTGCACGACTTGTCGAGCTCGACGCTGTGTGCGGTTGAGGCCTTGGTGGGAGGCATGTAGATCCTGGAGGACACGTGGGCGGAGGGTACGCAGGACCACAACAAGTTGGCCTTTCAGGACAAGATCACCGTCGACTGAAAGATGCTCGCGGATAGTGAAGTACGGTTTCACAGCTGAGTGGACGCCGCGCTGATCATCAGGGAAACCTTCACGAACGGCTTGGAGAAGGGCCTGATAGTCATCATCGGCACGGGCAGCGTCCAGGAGCTCGCAGTGCCGGAGGTCTGCAATTCGGCCATCCTCGTCCTGGCGGAGACATGCTCTGATGGCTGGTGCTGAGAGCGCTGAGCTTTCACCGAATTCTTCCTCACTGGTCGCCTTGTCGACCGGGTTACGGGACAGTGCATCAGCAAACGCATTCTCTTTACCCTTGTGCCAGTGCGCGACGAGTTGAAATGATCGGAGCTTCAGAGCGAGGCGTAGCAGTTGTGGATTTTCTATCTGATCCAGGGTGTACTTGTTTAGAATCGGGACCAATGAACGGTGGTCAGTGAACAAATCGAATCAGCTGCCGGACAGAAAGAGGGAGCATTTGTGGACAGCCCAAACCACAGCAAGTAACCCCATTTCTATGACGGCATAACATGTCTCTGCGGCGGTGAGAAAGCGGCTGCCACACTGCAGCATGCGCCACTGGGTATCTTGGCGTTGCCATAACACGAACCCAAGTCCGTTCAGGACAGAGGTCGGTCTCTAGCCGAAGGTCGTCAACAGCACGGTAGTACGAGAGAGTCGGCGGCGATATCAGTTCAGACTTTGTGGCGTTGAAAGCCGCGGTGTGGACATCATCCCACACAAACTCATTCGTGGTCTTCAATAGCGGACGTAGCGGAGCGGCGAGCTCAGATATCCGTGGGGTGAATTCTCCACACTGATTCACCAGACCGAGGAAGGTACGGAGGTCGGTACGATTAGTGGGTAGGTTGAAGTGCTGAATGCCAGTAACAAGGCGATCACGCATGGTCTCGTATTACCTGGTACGCTGTCCCTGCTGGCATTGGCGGTATACTCTGCTTGAACAGAAGTTGCAGAGTGCAGCTTCGCTGAAATTGCAGCAATTGTGGATCTCCCTGAGGGAAGTCAGGTAGTGATCGAAGGACTCTCCATGCTGCTGTTGGTGGGCGTAGAAGGCGATCCAGTCCAGCAGAGGGTTCCGCTGGCCGCGAATGTATGCCTGTACAGCCTTGATGAGATCGTCGTCATCGTGGTTGTCAGCCAGAGGAATTGTGCCCTCACGAAGAAATCTCCGGAGGTCCTCGTCCAGACACTGACGAACCGTTGCCACTCTGGTGGCATTGTCCTGGGAATCCAGGTGCTGGCACCGGGCGTAGTCCTGCCAAAGACCTTCCCATGCGGCAAACTCTGCGAGAGAGGCAGAGGCAAGTAACAGAGGGCGATCGACCGAAACTGGTCTCGCCGCAGGTACGCTTGCCGGTGGGGCTGGGGTGGACGTTGCGGTGGCGGAGGTTGAGAAATGCTCCTCAAAGTTCGCTCCATGAGCTGTGTCAGGTGTTGCTCGCGGGTGGCGGCGGTCTCCATCTGCTGTCTCATGAGCTGGGTGAGGACAGCAACGTCAGGGCTGAGTACTGGTGGGTCTGATTCCGCCATGCCGGAACGGAAATAATTTCAAATAATTTCACTTTATTTGAGAGACGAAGCGCCAGAGGTACTTGCAAGACCCAGACCTGAGAAAGACTAATGGAAACTGCTACTAAAAAAAGTTCACTGCGCCATGTGGTATCATCAAGTCCATGTGATGATTAGTTATATTGAAATAGAATAATGCAACGAAGGACTGAGTGAGGACGATTCGTCAGGAAACTACCAAGGAAAAGACTGAACAGCAACAAGAGACATGCACTGTTGATTATGGGCACGGAGTACACACATGCATGCATAGTATCAAGAGTACTATGCTGTAAGGTTGTACGCACGTCCATGCAAGGAGATGCAGTAGCATAATAAGAAACATGAGAGTGCAAATATGTACGATGTACACGGGTACACCACACAGGCGTATGGTACACATGTATGCTTAAACTCAGGTAGCCGGGTAATTGTGCGGACCTCACCAGGGAGAGCGTTCAACAACAGAGCACCAACAACAGAAAATCTCCGCTGACCGCGTTGGCTACGGTTTGCCTAGCTTAGTAGGCCATTTGACTGCTGATGGCGGGTAAGAGTGCCTTGTGCCGGGGTTAGAAACTGGGGGAGCACAGGGCTGGTGCGGGCGTGGATGCACCGCCAGAAGGTGATCAATATGTTCTGCCTGTAGAGCTCGCTGACACGGTACAGGGAGTGAGCAGTGAGCAGCGGCTGCATGACTGTCCGGGGCGGGTTGCCATCATTGCAGCGGATGGCTCTGTTTTGCGTGGTTTGCAGTCGTTTCAGTTGTCCCTCTCGCATTGCGGCTGAAAAGCAGCAGGAGCCATAAGCAGGTCGGGCATTATGACCGGCTTCACATACACCTGACGAGAGCGTCTTGATAGGCTTCGGCGTGCCCACCACAAGGCGCCAATTTTCTTCTCAACCTTGGTGAGCACATAGTTAACATGTGTTATGTTCCACCAACTTGGATAGAATGAATCAACGTACATAAGGAAAGTGCCTTATGTACAGACTACATACACATATTAGTGCTACAGACTACATATTAGCGCTAGCTAAATGAGCGTGCCAATTGTATGAATAATGTGATACAATTT